CTAGTAAAACGACCAAAACGCTGGCTTGCATCCATAGATGCTTCTCAAGCAAATCCCGGGACGTCATTCTCCCCCTGTACTCGGCCTTAGTGAGGCCGCAGCTGGAGTACTGCGTCCAGTTTTGGGCTCCACAATTCAAAAAGGATGTGGAGAAGCTTGAGAGAGTCCAGAGAAGAGCCACGCGCATGATCAGAGGTCAGGGAAACAGACCCTACGATGACAGGCTGAGAGCCCTGGGGCTCTTTAGCCTGAAAAAGCGCAGGCTCAGGGGTGATCTGATGGCCACCTACAAGTTTATCAGGGGTGACCACCAGCATCTGGGGGAACGTTTGTTCACCAGAGCGCCCCAAGGGATGACGAGGTCGAATGGTCACAAACTACTTCAAGATCATTTCAGGCTGGACATAAGGAAGAATTTCTTTACTGTCCGAGCCCCCAAGGTCTGGAACAGCCTGCCACCGGAGGTGGTTCAAGCGCCTTCATTGAACACCTTCAAGATGAAACTGGATGCTTATCTTGCTGGGATCCTATGCCCCCAGCTGACTTCCTGCCGTTTGGGCGGGGGGCTGGACTCGATGATCTTCCGAGGTCCCTTCCAGCCCTGATGTCTATATGAAATCTATGAAATTGATGTTAGTGGCCAACACAAAATCTTTTTTTAATTATTAAAATATATCTATATCTATTTAGGTATATATATATACATCTTCTATCGCAGACTTTCATTGCACTTTTTCTTTTCCAAACCATCTTAATAAACTTGTGCACCTGTTACAATAACCGCACCTGCTCCCCTGTGCCCATGCGCACCCACCCTCTGCCCTTCCCTAATCCAAACACAGTCTCTTAGTCCTGGCCCTGATTTGGGGTTTCCCTTCTCAATTCATTCTCAGTCCTTGTTGCTGTCGCTTCCACTGCTGCTGATCCTGTACTTGTCCTCCTCTCTGTCTTCAGGTCCAGTTGTGTCATTGTCCCCTTCGTTCTCCCTGACCACTTCCTTTCCCAGGGGGGTGGGCTTTGAACAGCCTGTACCATGTGTCCCTTTCCAGATGGAGTTGGCTGCATCCTCTCCATCCTCTCCCACCATTTTCTGGTAGTAGGACTGGAGTTCACTCAGAAACATTTTCAGGGCGATGATTTGGCATGACTGGTGTCCAGGACAAAAGTAGAATAGGGAGCTGCCAGTCAGGAGCTAGGGAATGGGCAGAGCTGTGAGGTGAAGGTTATTTCTGCATGGTTTGGCTGTAGTTGTGCGATTCATTCCCAAAGCTCTCAGTATGCTCCAAGCATAAAAATCCCAGAGCAAGGCAATGCATTTAACTGCTCCCCCGGACAATATTCCTGGAGGCGCTCTCTGTTGGGAGTGTATGTGCACATGGGAGAAAGCAAGAATGAATGAATTATAGGACATGCATGGGGACTGCTTTGTGGATGGGTTATTTGGCAATGTCAGCAAACCCCAGGGGGTCCTTTACTGAAGCCCTGCTAGAAGTCTGTGTGGGACAGAGCAAGAGGAGATGGGGAATACATCCAACACTGCAGGGAGCTCCAGCCTGAGACCAGTAACCAAGCTACCTCCCAAATACTCCAGCATCAACTCTGTAGGCCGCTGAGTGCAGTGGACATCCCGGCCACAGATGCCCCAGAGCCCATTCCAGTAGATGCAGGAATCCAGACCTGGGATCTGCCCCCAGGTCCCATTTTGGAATGAGGGGAAGTGGAGGCCTGGATTGGCTCCTCTCATCCTCCTTGTGCTCTGGACACTGACCAAGTCTCTGCCAGCTGTTTCTGGCCTTTGTGTTCTACCAGCCTCTCTGGAGGCTCCCAAAGCAGGAGGCAGGAGCAGGGCAGATGATGGTAACTCACACCTGATGCTGGGTTGGTCAGGCCTGCAAACCCTGACAGCTGCCCTGGGAGCCCTGCTGGCCTCTGTCTTTCATTTCAGGTCTGGAGGTGCTGGAGGATCTGCTGACCTATGATGATCTTTTCTTGGAGTATTTCAATGCCTTCTTGGCTCAGCCTGTGAGTATGTGTCCCCCCAGCCCACTGCTATGCTGTGGTTCTGCTCCCATCGATGGCCTGGTTCTTCCAGCACTCACCCAATGAACCTGTAGGCAGGACAGTGGGGTGATTTATCCTTCATTTCCAAGGGCATATGTAAGAGGAGGGTCCAGCCCCTGGTTTGAGGAGTGCACAAGCAGATCTAACTCTTGGGGTGGAACTGGATCAGTTAGGGGGTAGAGCCTGAAGGGAGAGGTAGGTGCATGAGTGTGGTACATGCAGGCAGGTTCTGTGAGTAAAAGACAGGGCTTCTGCCTGGAGTGAGTCACTGCCTCCCTCCTACCTGGCATGAGTAGTTCTCAGCTGATGCCAGGCTTGAGGGTGGGTTTGTGAGGTGGGCCGGGCACATCACCACTGAGAATGGGGCTGAAATCCCAATGTTGCACAGAGCCTGATTGGAGCTGGACTTGGAAACCCATGATACAGCTCCACTGCAGCCTCTTTACACGCACTCTGCTGGTGGCAAGGGGCTGCAAAGCAGACCAGCCCAGCACCTTGGGAGTTCCCCCAGTAAGCAGTGGCATGGGGCAGGGGAATGGCCCAGCACTACCCTACCCAGCACTGGGACTGTCAGGGATCTGACTGAAGGGCATGCCCTCCATTGAATGGGTGGGTGCAACACGTTAGGAGGTACCAGGGCAGGCTCTGTAAATTAAAGTAGCCTTGAGGTAGTGTACACTTGTGGGGAGAATGGAGTTCATCTCTTTCTTCCTTTAGGATCTGCCATCATGAAAGCAGGATGGCTTAGGGTCAAGAAAATTTGCCTCAGGGCCTGGATTTTTTTTTTAAGAATGTTTTTGTGGTCCAAGCCAAATCAGCAAAATCAAGTCCACATCTGAGAGTCATCCAGAACCATAAATGCCTCTACAACCCATAAGCATCCTCCACCCCCACCAGGGGCTTCAGATATTTCTGAAGTCTTTTGGCAGGCATAACTATGTGCTGGCCCAAGCCTGGAGGCTTGGGGTTTGGATGCACCCAAGTGCCATATAGCTGCAGGAGCAAGCTAGGAAGGAGCCTCCCATAAGGTGGGCTTTAAGCCCCAGCATCTTGGCAGGTATTAAACCACACCAGAAGAACAGTTATCTCTGGGAGTGCTTAAGGAAAACTGCCTTCATGGACCCAGATACATGGTGCCTCAGGGCCTGGATGATTTTGTAAGTCTCCCCAGATTGAACCAAGACTCAGTGTGGCTGACTGCTCATATCAAATACTCTCTCCCCTGGACATGGCATACAAAGGGAAACTGGGCTCATGAGGAAGGTATTTAACAGAAGCTAGGCAGAAAGCAAAATGCTGCAGTGGAGAGCTCAGCTGGCCAACTGCTTGCATCTGCTGTGCCAGTGAGCAGTGTGCACAGTAGAATCCAACCATGGAAAGTCCTCTCCCCTGTCATCAGCTTTCAGACGCTGCAGTGCAGGAGTGAGGGACACTGGCAGAAGTGGGTGTGGGAGGTACAGGGCTGGAAGCTCAGTTTGATTCATCCATTGTAGCAGCATTGTAAGTGAACAGCTGGTTCCTGAAATGTACCAGTCCCCAGCGCTGTGGGGCTTTCCAGGCCAATGAGAGTTTGTGTCTTTGACCTAGGCTTTTCCTCTGAGGCTGCAGTATGACCAGCTCAGGGGGCAGCTGGAAGAGCTGGACGGCTTCCTCCAGGAGCGTCCTAGACAGCTGAGCTCTCCTCAGTATGGAGCAAGTGATGCTGAGAGGGAGAGGACTTTGGGATGGCTTCAGAGGGAACGCTTAGTCCCATTCCTAGGGTGAGTTCTGGAGTGTGTGTACACTGTATCCTCTATACTACAGGACTGTCCTATACTGTAGGACTGCAACCTCTATACTATTGGACTGCTGCCAGAACTGCTCCTGTGTGTGTCATGGGCCCTATGATGCTGAGGCAATGGAGAATCTTTTTCAGTGTCTTAACCAGGGAAGAGCTTAGTGCCTTCCCTGCTGCTGCAGGGCAGTGCCAGGTGACCATGCTGGTTGCAGCCCGTTGGAGTGATGTTGGCTGGTCCAGCCAGAGAAGTGGGGCTAGGAGGTTTCACAGCCTTTCTGGGGCAATGGTTGTAATGCTAGGGGGAGAGCTAGGGGGAGAGCAGTGGATGAAAAGAGAGCTACAGTACCCCTCCGTGGAGGCCAGTGTATGTACAGCAGAGCCGGGGAGGCTGGAGTAGGCAGGTGCAAGCTTAGGACGGAGTCTGGTGAGAAATGTTCACATGACATGCTTTTGACTGAGCTGATGCTGGGGTCCTGCTGAGGGAGTGCATCCCTCCTTCCCTGCAGCACCATGCTGCCTCAGCCCTGGGCTCCCCACACCTGGCTCTGCCAGTGCCTCTCTCTCCTGCCCTGCAGCCCCTTCTGTTGTCCCAGCCCTGGCCTTGCCATGCCAGCAGAGCCTCTGGCTTTGCCCTGGTTCTGTTACCATGGATAGTTCTGTGATTGTGGATCCTGTTAGCATGCATCTTGGAGCAGTTTCTTGCCCCCTGCTGTGGCCATACTTGGCAGTTTCACTGACTGACTGTCTGCTGTCAGGACCACTTTTTATCTGCAGTACAAACTGGCAAAGCTGCTGATGCGTCCGCTGGATGAGGGCTACCCGGTGAGCCGGCACGAAGTTTGTGGACACAGCCGTCAGTCTGACAGTGCTGCCGTCTCAAGCATTCCCAGTCACCCCTCAACAGCTGGGCTGACCATGGGGATCTCCAGCCATGAGCTTCTGAGGCCTCTTAGGTTGACCCACAGCACCCCAGCCCGTCTAGGTGAGTCCCCCCAAGAGTCAGCCCTGGAGCATACCTGTGTCCTCCTGCTCCCAGGCTAAGGAGAGGGGTTACTTCACTGCACCCATCCTCCCCTGGACTTGGAAGGGAATGAAGGGAGGCCTATAAGTCACCCAGCCTGGTGTTTGATGCTGACCTGAAATGGTGACACCAGCTTGCTTCTCCCCACAAAGCTGGGTCAGGAGCTGAGGCACATCAGACTCAGAGTTCAGGGTGAAAAACACCTCTCTGCCCTGGGGGACTGTGTTTAAACACTGCTTTGGGATAGTTTGAAGTCCAGTGTAGAGCAGGCCTAACTCAAAACCAGGGACAAGCGTATCACATCTCCTCCCTCCCCATTTCTGTCCCCAGTATAATACCGTCCACACCCCTTGCTCTTGGGATCTGCAGAAGGTGATCTCACAGAGCTTGCTTTCTTGTCTGCCTGTCTCTCCCCACTTCCTCTGTTCTTCTAACACTGGCCTCCGCTCTAACTCCTACACACTTATGGTGCAAGTGCCTCCTCTTCTGCTGTTTTTGCTGCCTCGTGGATTGCTCAGCTCATCTGACAATGTTTCTTTCAGCTTCTCTATTCTTCCTTCTCTCCCTAAGATGGTGTCCCCCCAAAAGGGGTTGTGGGGACATGTTTTGTATGAAGCAGGCAATCTTTCTACACCATGCAGGTGTTAGGGTAAGAGCTGAGAGAATCAAGGAAAATGAGCTCTCCACATTGTGGGCAGATCCCATCCCCATCGTCAAGGCATTTAGGCTCCTGCTGGGAAAGGACCCCAGGCATCTCAGGGTCTGACTGCTCCATGGTGCTTCTCAGCTGCCTAGACTCACTCTTTACCATCCATTTGGCCTTGGGACCTTCCCTTTACAGCTGTCTGCTATGTCTCTCTGCTCCCTTGCAGGCTGCCTTGTTGACAATGCTGACTGGCATCCCCAGGAGATTTCCCTGGAGTTCTCAGCTGCCTTTGGTTTGGGGCAACTTCCCTGTGCAGAGGGGCTGAGCAGGCTACAGGTCAGCAGCCTCCTGTCTGACTCAAGCGTGGAAGCAACCAATGGTGAGACTGCTGTGGCTTGGAGAGGGACAGGACGGGACTGTCCTTTGCCAGGTACATTCCATCTTTTTAGCTTTCCTTCCCCACCTTCTTCCCCCAATGTGAGGGGCTCCTGTTCTGCCCATTGGGTCTGTGTGTCCTGAGCCACCTGCTCTGCTCACTCACAGGTAGGAAGCTGCCTAGCTCATAGATGCATTTACATTTGCCTGCCTGAGGCTAAGTCTGCCTTCAGTGCAGTATTGTCTCCTCTTTCCTTGGGCTCCAGGTTATTACCTGGATGGCAGACATGCCAGGAAAATGTAGGTGCTGCAGCCTGTGTGGGTGATTCAGGAGAGGTGCACTGTTCTCTGACGCAGAACTGACCCCGCTGTGATGCCAAGGACTGCTGAGTTGAGCAAGGTGCCTTCTTTTAGAGGAGATATAAAACAGGTCCCAGTAGCTTCTCATTGTCGAACAGCTGTGTGAGGAGTCAGGGTGCTAACTGGCTGTGTTCAATAGACTCATAGAGAAGTCAGGCTGGAAGGGACCTCCAGAGGTCATTTAGTCCAACCCCCTGCCTGAGGCAGGATCAGCCCTATCCAAACCATTCCATAAAAATTCATAATCTAACCTCTTAGTAAAGTGTATGAGTAACTGAAGTCCTTAAATGCCCATTGTAGTTGCATTTGGGAGCAGTCTACTTTATCGCTTCCTGTCCTAAGTCACTGTTCTCTGCCACTGGTAAAGAGCTGCTGTGCTCAGTCCCAGGAGCTGCTGCATTTCTGCAGCAGGTAAAGCAGTCTTTTTCTAAACAGCTTGGTCTGAAGCAAAATGCTGCAGGGGGAGTTTCTTTTCAGAGGTATTAACAGCTCTGCTCCTCAGGACTTAGAGAAGATTTTATTGCTCTGGGTTTACTGACAGATTCAACAGCAGGAGGTGAGATCCCCCAAAGCCCATAGGGAGGGCCTTTGACTGGAGCTGACAACCTGAGCACTTTGGTGTAACCCCACGTGGCTGTTTGGGGGTAGGGGGCGGGATAGCAGTCTCAGGGTCTGGACACATGGACTCATTTATAATCTGTCATTGTGTCATGATTGCAGAAGGAGCCATGGATGATTGGACCAGTGAGCCAGCGGGACTGCCTGTTGGCCTGAGCACACCTGCCTCTGGCTCCTCACTTGGAGCAGAGCAGGCCAAGTCCCACCTGGACAGGTGAGAATATCAAGGGTTAATGCACCTCCCTGTGCTGGGGAGGAGAAGGCCTTGAGTGAGTGCCCAGGTAAAGCCAGGGGCAGCAGCTGGAGCAGGGGACTGAATCAAGGGCTGGTGTGCCCAGCCTCATAGTCACTGATGGCTCCATCCACCCTTAGCAGGGCTCTGTGAAGGGTGACATAGCTAGCACCTTTCCATCTGGAGGCACACAGCACTTGGCACCATTAAGCCTCCCCTCCCCTATCTTGGAATTGAGGAAAGTGAGGCTCAGGGAGGCCTCACTTTTCTATCCACCCCCACCACCAAGGCCAAACAGCATGTCCTTTGTCAGAGTCTGGACTAGAGGCCCCACTTCTGGGTTGTGCTTTAACCACTAGACATGTTGCCTTCTTAGCAGCGTTGTCACCCTGGGATGCCTTCTGCCTATGAATGCTGGGCTGGTGCCACCCACACCCTGAGGAAGACATTCAGTGGCAAGGGGGAGGGAATTTCTCCTGGCCTCTGTCTCACTCTCAGCATCTGGTTCAACAACATCCAGGTGTGCTTGGAGGGGGAAGGGCCAAAGGTCAGGTTTCTCACCTTCTCTGGGTCCAATCCTAGGTACCCTGTTGGGAGCATGGTGCCAACTGGTTGACCTGCTTTACCCTCCATGGGGGCTGTTCCTCTGGAGCCTGCTCTCATGTTTTGCCTGTAGCATGGTGTCAATACATATGCATGTTGTTTGCTGGGGTTGCTGGGGCCTCCTCCCACACTGGTTCCCAGTAAGAGGCACACAGGAATAGCACTGAGATGGGGCCCTGCGGCCTGCATGCCCAGCTGTACCCTTGCCCTTCTGGGGTAGATTCTACAACTAAAGCCTCCCACGCTTGGAGTCATCTCCACCCTATAGGCTCCGCTGCTCTGAGAACTCCCATTCCCTCTTGTTCATTCCAGTGCTTACTATCCAGCAAACAAGGAGAGGACTCCTCTGACAGAACATGGGGATTCACCAGGGTTCAGTGGAAAGCAAATATAGAATAACTACAACTAATGGCAATGTACTAGCCCAACACTGGAGAGTGTCGGGGGGGTGCAGGGAGGGGTGCAAGGAGTGCTGCTGGAGGGGGTTGGATAGTCCCATTTCCCCTGCATTCCAGGGAGTTGCTTGTGGCACGTGCCAGAGATGTTCCTGGACTCTTTTTTACTACAGGTGGGCTGGGGAGTCATTTTCAGATGCCAGGAAGGTGTTGCAATTTGATCTGGATGAGGCAAGTGATTCTGAGGGAGGAGAGGAGCCTGGGTTCCTTGGGAGTTTCAGCGGCTCTGCTCTGCAGCGTCTGAAGGAGGACATCTTGGGGACGGTAAGAATGCCAGCTCCTGCCCATGGGCCATGTGGATGGAGATGCCGTTGTCTCTGCCAGCTACCGTGTGGTGCCTCCTCCTGCTTTGGGCTGGCCTGTCTGTCAGGTGGAGGCTAATAGGTCCCCACTTGCTAGTTAATCAAATTGAATTCTGAACTGCTCCCTGTACTTCCCTTGCTGCCTCCTGCCACTTCACTGCTGTCCCTAACCCCCCACCCCACCACCACCATGGGACTTGCCAGTTCTCTATGGCTCTGCATTCAGCTTCGAGACAGGGAGCCTGTTCAGCCTATAGTGGGCAACCTGTGCTGAACTGTGGACTTATATGGGGCTCTGGGGATAAACCTTGACTTTTACCCGTCATCAGTCTGTTCCGGTCCTGGAGCAATGTTATCCCTACTCTGTGCCTAGAAGATGAGTGCTCCTTAGGGGCAGCCCGAAGGGCTCAGTGTCACTGTGGCTCAGAGGGGACAGCTGAGGTAGCAGACTGCTGCAGATTGCTGATTACTGTGTGGGGACCTCCCAGTCCTTTACAGGGAGAATTGGGCTGATCCCTGCCACAGAAACCAGGGGGAGCCCTGCTTTATTCCAGAGGTGGGGGAGCAGCTGGCAGTCCATCCATCCAGTCCCTGGTTTCTCCAGGAGAGTGGAGCCTGAATAAGTTTGCAGCAGTGGCTTTGATGATCTGTCTACAGCTTTCTACCAGTGGCTTGGTGCCAGTCCTGTGGGAGGTGGGAGGCTACGGGGTGCCCCCCCACTGCTGCACTTAGGACAAGGTTGTCAGGCCTGGGAATGTGCCATGGGTGGGTCTCATTAATAGACTGGTGGGGCAGTTCAGGGAGGCATTTGACTCCACTGAAGGGGAAGGTGGGCTCTCCTAGCTCTTTGCTGTGGGGCTGGACTGCAGCCCAGGAGCTTTGCTCCCTCCTCATCTGCAAAGCTTGCTCTTTGTGGCTCTGCATGCTCCAGCGGGCCCTCACCCTCCTTGTGCTGTAGAGAGCTGGCATGGACACCTTCCAGGAGTTTCTCCAGGGCACCCTGGGGATCCATCTCCTCTACTTCTGGATTGACTGTGAGCATGCCAAGGAGCGCGCCCAGTGCTTGGAAGCCAGTGATGCCCAGCTCCTCTACACTGACCTCTTTCGGTAGGGATGGGTGACCAGGGGAATGCCGCATTCAAACCCTAGATGAACAGAAGGGTGCTGGGGGGCACGCATCCATGGTGGTGCCTGTTCTCTTGTGTACACAGGAGGGGTCACGGCTCCATTACTAAACCCATGATGGGTGCTGACTTTGGGTTTTGTTGGTGGGTGTTTTTTGGTTTTTTTGGATTCCTGTGCCAAGCCCCATGCGTGCCCAGAAGAGGCAGTGCATTACTTCAACCTGGTTCACCCAATGTGGCTTGTGGGTGCTGAGCACCTACTCATTTTTTTGGTGGGTTCTTGAGCCCCAGAGCACTCACTGAGTTGGCACCTATGACCAAACCCACACAAGCTGGTTGTCTCTTCTTATTGCCCCCAAACCTCTGTCTGCTCCACCTCCTGGCATGTCAGGTACACTGCTGGTGGTGAGGATGGAACCACTCAGCAGCCATGAAGATAGGCATAGACTAGAGAGTTCCCGCTCAGAGCCATGGGTGAGGAACCCCTAATTCCTGTGGTAAATGAGCATGTGTGTGCACAGAGAAGGGCCCTAGGGGAACCCCCCAGCCTGACACTCATAGCAGTGCCCATTTCCCTAGTGCCTGTCAGAGTAATCACACAGAGTAACTTGTCCCACACAGGAACCAGATCTAGCACATTTCAGGATCCATTGTGGGGAGAGGTGGTGGGGAAGGGTTGAGGTGTGAGAGAAGAGCACTGGAGGTCTATTGCTTTGCATCTTTCCCAACACATACCCCGTGGGAGACCCACACAGGACAGGACACCACCTCAGATCACCATTGCAGGTGTTCTGGGTCGGTCTTCTCTAGACCCTGTGGGTCTGGCTTTCCTGAAAGCACCCTATGGGCCTTGGATGCTCCTTTCCTGGAGTTGAAGCCCCCTTCTTGTCTTTGCAGGAGTATTCAAGACAAGTACAAACTGGACCTGCCTCCTGCTTCCCAGGTAAGGAAGGCTGCTAGGGGGGAGCCCTCACCCCCACCCACCCTTTGCAGCTTTAGCAGATGTGTATCTGTGCTCTGGCAGGTCTGAGCTGAACATCGCAGCTGTGGGCAGAGGTGAGAAAGCAGAGCCCTGGGGAGCACTCTGCATGTGTGTGTGTCTAGTATTGCATCCACTGCCAGGAAATGCTTAGGCTAATTAAAGTGCTCCTATTTTGGGCTTTCAGTGATGCTGGGGGCCTGCTGCTGCCTGGTTCTGAGGCCTCCCAGGTCTCTGCTTAGCTATTAGTAGGGGCTGGCTCAGGACTTGAGGCAGCACATGTCCTGCTTGATTAATTTTACCAGTTATTTGTATTAGTGTAGTACCTGGGAGGCCTAGCCATGCACCAAGACCCTGCTAGCACTTGGTGCTGTACAAACAAAATAGAAAGTCTGTCCCTGCCCCTGAGAGCTTACAGTCTTAGTCCTAGTACTAGGCAAGAGACAACAGATAGGTATAGAGCAGGGGTGGCTAGATTACAGCCATTGAGCAACATGTAGCTCCTAGGCAGTTTAAATGTAGCTCCTGAAGAAAGAGAAGTAGTGGGGCACTGTGTGCAAGTTGCTGACTATAGGGCATGCACATCTTGGATTATTTGTGTCCTGTGGCTCTTGGCCATGTCCAGATTTGCAGCTAGCAGGGCCAAGAAGTTTGGCTACTCCTGGTACAGACAGACGAGGCAATACAGAGAGAAAATGAGACCACATCAGCCAGTGTGGTAAGCAGCAGTCTTAGCTCACCAGATGTCTAACCATTTCTGAGGCATCATGGCAAAAGGGAGTTTTATGCAGGATTTGGCCATTTTATCAATGCCTATGGAGAACTCCCCCCAAGCGCGATGAGCTTCCTGGGAGAAAACACAAAGGTGCTTGTGTGAAAATCTAGCCTCGACTTTGACCCACCATGCTAGCCTTCACTGCCCATCAGATTTGGGAATCAACATCCCAGTAGTGACGGAGATATGACATCGATCAGTGGCTCCAGAAATTTGGTGGCAGGGGAGTTGTGGTATTGTTAATTGCTGGTCTCCTGCTGCCAAGTTTCCAGACCTGTGGGGAGCCCTGTGGCCTGGATAATGTGGCCCAACATGCTAGATCATACTATGATGTGATTGACTTGGCATGCATGGTCACTCTATGCTCAGATCCAGGCAAGGGAGGCTGGGTTAGCATGTAGCTAGATATGGCATGTGGGGTCAGGCTGGTGTGCTGGAGCACACCTGCAGACTGACCCTGTGCATCAACCCCATGCAGGATCCAGTCCACAGACCAACCTCTCTTCTGGCCTGTGGGGCTAAAAGTTTGGACACCACTGATACAGTTGGTAGGTATGGGCCATGAAGGGCCATGAAAGTGAAGATGAATGGTTTAAGTATGATGAGGCAGATAAGGAAGATGTGACCAAAACAATGGACTAGGAACCTAGTTTCTGCAGCTACGTTCTTGGTGGATATGAGTAGGACAAAATTGCATTTGCCAAAGGCGGAGAAGAGGAGGTTGCAGAATTCAGGATGTGAGAGGAGAGCCTGGATGAAAGTTTGAGCCATGTGAAGGGATAGAAAAGGGAAGATCTTAAGAGATGTGATGCAGAAAGAACTGGTTAGATTTAGACATAGCTTGGATACGAGGACCTAGGGAGAGGTCCAAGCAAAGGGATGCCTAGCTGCAGTCCTGAATTCAAGCTGGGATAGTACTGTCATCCACAGGGCTCAAGAATGGAAGAGAGGGATTCAGGTTGGGGAAGACAGAATGCTCTGCTCTAGCCTTGGTGAGTTTGAGCTGCCAGTCACACTTCCACAAGGAGATGTCAGAGAGACAGGCTGGATTGAAGATGACAGGTCTGAAGAAGACAGGTAGACCTTTGAGTTGTCACCATGGAGACAGTAGCTGAATTTGTGTCTGTGGCTGAGATGGCCCTGAGTTAGCGTGCGAGGGAGAGGAAGAGATCAAGGACAGAAAGTTGGGGGGGATGAAGTTGGACTCATGCAGGGTCACTTTGTGTGACCTTTTAAAATGGATGAGAATGTGTAAACTCCCCTGCGTAATGTACCCCACACTCCTGTCGATGCCCCTCACTCCTGGAGCGGAGCCTCACGCCCTTGCTAGCCCAGCCTGAGGTGTCCTCTGGGCAGAGGTTGCCTGCGTAGCCTGTCTAGCATAGGCTGGGCAGTGGTTGAGTGTTCCTTAGGAGACACAGCTGGTGCCTAAAGCTCCTTGATCCTGGAAGCCCTCTCTGTCATGATGCCAATCAGCCGCCCACTGCCCGAGCCCCGCCGCAGGTGTAGAGCATGTCTCTATGTTTGCTATGAAGGCAGGCAGGCAAGTGTAGGAGGGAAGTTTGTGCTCATTAAGTTAATTCTTTTGCTCAGGCCAAGTGAGGATGTGCAGTCATCAGTCCCTAACCCCTGACATCCTGATCTCCAGTGTCTGTGATTCCTCCAAGCCGCTAGATAGCATTAGCCACTAGCCTCACAAAAGGTTAAGGGGTGTGTATGTGGGGGAAGCTGGGTGAATTTGCCTCCTGCTCTTGGATCCAGCTTGGGATCCCTAGTGAGTCAGACACTGGCTTCTGACCCTCAGTGTCACAGAAGCACAGAGCTGACAGCCACGGTGTGGGAAGGGACAGGGATGTAGCCAAGCCTAGGGAGAGGCTGGAAGGAAGCACCTGACCCCTCTAGAACTGAGGTCTGCAAGAGGCTCTGACCCCCTCCCCCCAGAGCACAGTGTGGTTTGTGGGGCCCATTGGTGGGATGGCTGGCCCACTCCTTTCTCCCCTCTCCTTCCTGGCAGGAGCAGATCTGTAAGGCTCAGCACAGCGCAAGGCAGACTTCAGCTGCAATCAGCAGGAGCCAATATGATGCTCTGAGACGCTTACGTTCCTACTGGGTTCCTAGGTTTCTCATCCACCATGAGAGAGCCAAGCACCTTGGGTATGTGCCCTTTGGGACCACCTAGGAAATATGGGGGCTATGGAGGGGGAGGGAAGTGTTTGTAGTTCTCAGGCTATGGAATGGCTTGGATAGGGATGATCCTGCCTTGAGCAAGATGACCCCGCTTCTAGCCCCACTTTCCTATGATCCTATGACTCTGTGGGTCTGGGTGAAGAGTCTTCTGCTATATTAGAAAAGCCTCACGAACACTGGGCTGTTGGTCAGAGCTCTTTCCTAGCTCCATGTCCCTTCTGCCTCCCCAACTGCAGAGGCCTTTAATAGGTTGGAGAGAATAGGATCCAGTGGTTAAAGCAGAGGCTGAGAACCAGGATTCCTGGGTTCTCATCCTGGCTCTAGGAGGGAGTGGGATCTAGTGCTAGATGAGGCATAGTATCCTGTTGGGGTTTGGGCTCTATTCCTTGCTCTGCTGCTGACTCACTGACAGGACAATCAAGTCCAGCCACCTTGCTCTGACCTGGCTTCCACCCTTGTAAATGAAAAGAAAATACTTGGAAAGCAAAGTGCTACCTTTTCTTTTTTTTGGCATTCACAGTAGGCTTGCATCAGACTTGGGCTCCCAGGCCAAGGCTAGGTCACTCCTGCATGCTGACCACCTGCCTTCGGTTAAGGTGTTTGCAGCACTTCCCATAGTGGGGGACCGATGCATGAGTCGCGTGAGCAGAAGCAGAGACTGGCTCAGTGTATGTACTGTTCCCTGTGGTTGCGGGGGGGTGGAGGGGTTCAATATGGGGGTCTCACACTGGCAGTGTGTCCACCATCTGCTGTAGTCCAATGCTGTAGCTGGTTAATATCCTGAGTATGCAACACTGACACCCAGTATGAGCATGTGGGTCCACACTTGCTTTGTGGAACATGGGACAAGCAGCTACCCCATAGCTGATGTTGCACCCAGTGGCAGGGACCTGCCTAGAGTGGTAAATGCTCTGGAAACATCTCCAGTGGAGCTGGAGGAGCCTGGAGTCCAGGTTCTTCTGACATTAAGCTGCTCTAAGGTCTACTCTGACTCTAGCTTCAGCAATACAGTGGACTACATCGGGCCCCTGTGCTCTAGCTCAGTGGTTCTCAACCTTTTTTGGACCAGGACCCATTTGTAAACATTGGCCAGTCCCGACCCAGTGCCCCTCACTCCTGACATGCTGCCCCACACCCCCAATATGTGGGGCAGGGGGTGGGTGTGTGGGGCATGAGGAGCTCCAAGCCGCCTTGTGCAAGGGGAAAACTGCTGTTTCCCACATTTTCTCCTTTAAAGGAGAGTCCATTTTTAAAGTTTGTTCACAACCCTTTCATATATTCTTGCAACGCACTTTTGGGTCACGACCCATGGGTTGAGACACACTGCCTAGCCGACCACTTGCAGAGGGTCCAGTGCAGTGCTTGTAGATGGGGGTGTGACTGGAGCATGGGTGAGAAGGGCTGTGAAGAGGCTGGACCCGTTCTGCTCCTGACCAGTGATCTCCCACTTGCATTTGAGGGGGCTTCCACACTGTGAACGGCAGCTGCCTGCCATCTGGGACCCTGGCAATGACATGCCTGGGGGAGTCATTTGGAGTAGTTCCTCTCCTCCCACTAAGGCTCACTGTGGTTCCTTTGGCCCTGGCCTCAGGCAGCTCTTTCTGGCCTGTTGTGAGCAATTGCACCCACAGAACTGCTAGGACTGAGAAACCCTTCTGTGCTGTATGCCCACTGCAGGTTCTGCGCTCCACAGGGACCAGGCGTGGCAGGATTGAGTCAGCTCAGCCACCAGGCCTCATGTGGCCTCTTACTATGACACCACTGACCTCCCGCCTCCTCCAAACACTCAAATGTGATCTCGGGGGTGTGGGAGGCTTTCTTCACTACCTGATCAGGTGAGTCCTGGGCTCCTGTATCTTTCCAAGGCACAGAGTTGTAGCTAAACCTAGGATAATGAGCTGACATATTCCTGCACACCTAAAATTTGTTGCTGTGCTGGCTGTGACTGAGCCCTAATGCTTGAGAGGAAAATGTCAAGATGTGGCATTTTCTGTCCTATACAAGCTAGTTGTGTGCTGCCGTCACCAGCTGCTTAAGAGGTGTCCAAGACACCATTCATGTTCCTTCCATGCTTGTCCTCCAGGTATGAGGATGCTCAAGAGGTGCACAGCCTGTTGCTGTGGCAGGCACTGGAGGAGCACAAGGCCTCTTGGGAGAGGCAGGCAGATCGGCTCCAGGTCCACCGTGCAGCCTGGCACATCTTTCACACGTACTTGGCCCATGATGCGGGATGTGATGTTGGTGAGTGCCCAGATACTGCCTCTTCCACCAAGTGGGCATTCAAGTGCTGAGCCCACTTCACTGAGTATGGCTGGGTTGGGGTATGAGTGGAGTCCACTTAAACAGTAGCCACTGGGCTCAATCATGTACCAGCACTGGCTGCACTGTGGTGAATGTGGAGCTGGTACTCTATTCTGGAGAGTACCAGTTAGGTGGTGGTTGGTGCTAGGAAACTTTAAGGAAGCTGGGACAGTTTAAGACTGAGCCTGCAGCAACCCAAATGGATTTTAGGCATGAAAGCATGATGCCCTCAGTTCAGTAACCCATTGTCATAGTCCTGATATCAGGAGGTCTAGAACCATAGCAATAGTGCAGTGAGCTGCTTCCCTTGCTTGGCTTTGAATGGGAGACCTGATAACTCATCTCAAGCATATGGCTGCAACATGGAAGTGGCTGTCTGGTGTTGTGGTTGGGTTATCTGGATTCCTACTGAAGTAGACCAGTGGACCTGTGGGGATTTCCTCCGAGTTGCCTAGAGCAGTGTTTCTCAACCCATGGGTCACGACTCAAAAGTGGGTCACAAGAATATATTAAAGGGTCACGAACAAATTTAAAAAATGGATCAAACTTTAAAAATGGATTCTTCTTTAAAGGAGAAAGATGTGGGAAACTGGCTTTTTCCTTGCAGGCTGCCAGTGTTCCAGCCTGCAAGGGGCTGCTTGGGGCCCCCCTGCCCCACTGATGATGCATAGGGGGTGCACTCCCTGAGATTGGCCGTGCAACCCCTGGAAGCGCCAGCTGTGAAACTGGAAGTGCCCTTCTAGTTTGGGTGGTTCCGCGCTCGCCGATCGGCTGCAGGGAGACCCCCCCACCCGGTTGGCGATCAGCCATGGGGGGACCTCCCCCTCGTTGGTAATCTGGTGCTCCCCCAGACTCAGGAGGCAACAGTCACCCATGCCCTTCCCCATGCACTGGGAGGCTGGGGGTGGGGGACAGTGGATCGTGAGTGAAGGACACTGGGTCGAGACTGGCCATCAATGTTTACAAATGGGTCCTAGTACAAAAATGGTTGAGAACCACTGGTTTAGAGAACCAGTGCACAGGCTTCTGGGCTGGACTACAGGAAAGTAAGTGTTGATGAGCGCCTGCATCATTTGAAGCCCCACAGTTTGCTGTGTCAAACTTGCTCTAGGAAGGAGTCCTAGGTCAGCCCTCTCCTCTACTTCTCACCTTCCCACAGGGCTGGGCTATGATATGCCGCTTTATGTCCAGCACCTCCAGGATCTGCTCAGCACCAGTGATGGAGGCCTGGAGCCCATGGCCTTTGAGCCTGTGGCTCAGCATGTGCTTGCTGTCCTCTGTCGGTCCTGGCTCCGCTACCTCCGCTACGAAATTGCCACCTTCCTGAAGTGAGTTCCCAGAATCCTTGACACCCATTTCTCAGGTTCCCAAAGCTTGCAGAGACATTCAATTCCTGGATTATTCTCCCTCAGTACGCTCAGCAAAGGCCGTAACGCTCATCTGAATCACTCTTGCTTCTTGTGCCCTATGTTGTTGACTCCAGAGCCACACAGTGAATCCTTTGGCACCATCTCTCTTCATGTAGGGAGAGGCCAAGACTGGAGCAGCCAGAAGCTCTTGTCTCTGTCCCCTGCCCCTCCCAAAGCCAGTGCTCAGACCCTTCCCTTTTGCACACTTCCTGCCAGGACTGGAGTAGCTGGGAGCTCCCCCTCCCCTTCCAGCCAGTGCCCCTGCCCTGTTGCCTGTTCCTGTGCTGGAGAAGGCAGGGAATGGAGCAGCTAATTCCTCGGGAACCAGTGCTTCTGCTAGGAGTGAGCTTCTAAATGACTGATTGTCCTGGATAGCTCAGCCGGCTCCAGACTCTCTGTGTGGACAGAGATAGATAATTCTTTCCAATTAGCCAGTCATCCTGGCAAAAATCTTTTTGAAACCTGGTCCTCAGCCATTGCGCGTCTCTCCTTGGCTCACTCACCCCGTTCCACTGTCTTTCTCACAGGTATTGTGTGCCAGCCTCTTTCTTTGAAGCCCAGGATATGGGGAGCAAAGAGAGTAGAACAAAGCAAGGAAGGAGAAACAGGTACTTCCTTGTGTGCCCCTTGGGCCAACAGATATTTGGCATTCAGGTTAGCCATCATTAGTTTGTGACCACCCCAACAGGGACCATTTGTAGTTATGGAGGTGAGTACAAGCTAAAAACTTGCTTTCACAGCGAAAACTCCAGCCCCTTTGACAAAGTCCTGGCTTCCCACTATCCCTGTTTCATGCATGCAGCCTCCAGGTCCATGCATCTAATCAGGACTGTGTGCCCTGGGTGACACTTGCACTGTAGTGCCCTGATGCACACAGGAGTGCAGGCTGCTATTTTGGGAACAAGTTTATATTTAGCTCTTACCTCCTGTTTGCAAAAGGACCTGAGGTGCATCACAAACAGCTCTCATGGTGAGAATCATTTCACCCTCTGCTGAAATGTGCATGCCTCTGGGGTGGAGGATGGCAGCTGCTAACACACCCAAACACTGCACAGGATATGAACAAACAGTCTCACCACAGCAGGAAATGTGGAAGGCAGCATACATTTTCCGAGGCTGGAATTTTGGTAGGACCACTGTAGTACCTCTGTCTGAAGTGATCTTCTATGACCACGTTGTCAGGACCTGAAAAAACACCCTCCGAGATCCCAGCAACCGCTAAGTGCCAAGAAAGGGCTTGAGAGAAATAAATGCAAGCTCAGCATTGCTGTGTGGGAAGAGAAGGGGGTCTGGCATCCAAGTCCTGAACCCCAACAAGAGCCTAGCCTGCTGTGCTACGGCTATGCTGACAACCCTTGTAACTCCTTGCAGGGCCAGGAAGAGGAGGAGCAATGCCAGATCCCATGCCCAGGAAGGAAGAGAACAGCAGAGGCAGAAGAAGAAAACAGCATCCAATCCACTGGGCTCAGGCCTGGCGGAGGAGGACACCCCAGCCGGCAGGGTGTCAGTGACATCCCAGCCATCCCCGGACCTGCTCAGCAACAAGGTGGTTTTTAAAGTTTATAGGAAAGTGGCTCAGGAAATGCAGGATGCTGACTTGCAAAGGGCACTGGGACTGCTGCAGAAGCTGGAGTGCTGCCGGGAGGCCCCAGGGGACAGGCAGCGGCTGGGTAGCACCCTGAAACTCCTGGACCTCTGGGACCAGCAAGGGTCTGAGTCAGCCAACCCTCAGCTCCCTCGAAAGCTGAGGAAGAGACTGAGGGTGGAGGTGGCCCAGGGCAGAGTGAGCGACTTGAGCCTGGAAGAAATGCAGGCGGCTCTATATTCGCATGTTGCTCAGAGCTTTGAGGGCTTCTGGGCTGGGGTGAGTGAGGGGCTGAGCAGGCATGGAGTGCAGCACACCCATCTGCAGGAGGAGGGCTGGGCCAAGCTGGAGCCACTCCTGCACTCGCTAGCTGCCAAGGTGGCCCTCAAGCACCTAAGGAACAGGAAGGCCCAGGTGGGGTCTGCAGCCACGGCCCGGCCTAGCCAGGAGGACAAAGCCTCCTTCTGCCGGTCCCTCCGGGCTGCTGCCGAGGGCTGGCCCAGCCTGGAGATGCTGCACTTCCTCCAGTACCTGCAGGTTCATGGCCCCCCGGTGCTGGAGATCGGTCTGTGCTTCCAGCTGGAGGTACAGAAGTTCAAGAACGCCCATCATGGCACGCCCGATGGGGCCCTGCTCAGGAAGAAGGTGCAGGTGATCCGTGACAGCTTCCTCCTCTCCCAGCTGGAGCCCAGGCTGCAGGTAGTTCCCAGGCTTGGAACAAGAGGCAAGGATGGGGCAAGGAGACAGCCAGACAGGCTGCTACTTGGGGACAGAGAAAGCAGGGGAGGGAGGGAGGAGAAGATGGAGTTGAGCCAGAAGCACCAGCTTCCAGACTGCGGTTATGGAAAGAGGTTTGTGGATCAGAGCAGGGCCCTGGTACGTGATTACATCATGGGTACAGGGCAACCCCACACACACTTCCCTGCTGTTGGGCAGATGCATGCCCCAGCATGTGAGGATGAGGGCAGGGAGAGGTGAGCCCTTTCTCCTAGGTAGGATGTGTGAGGGGAAGTTTTGGGGGTGAGCCCCTTTCCCAGTTGGAGGGGGTAGGATTCATGAAGCGGGAAGCCCCATCTCCTGGGTGGGAGGGCAGGGTAGTCCATGGGAAACATTAAGAACCGGCAGTGGTCCATCGGGCCCAGAAGTTGGGAAGAACTTTGAAGAATGGCATGTACTCTGCTATGCAGTCCCCGAGTCCCAAAGAGTCCAGAAGGGACTGGTGTGCGAGTGAAAGGCCTCCTGCAGGTCTACCCTTGATCACACTGGAAAAACGGCCTCATTGTTCATAGCTAATGCTATAGTGAGGATTAGGATGAGATTCAGGTAACAGTCCCACCCTCTCACCCTAGGGTACCCTACCCCCAGCTCAAGCTAAACCCCAGCCCCTCTTTCAGGCTCATCTTGCTTCCCCTGGAGCAATGTCCTGCACAGTAGCAACTGCAGTTGTAACACTATAAGTGGGAAAATCATAGTATCTGTTTCTGTCAAAGCAGCCTGGGAGCAGCTAGGACTATCACCCACCTAGTCCCTTGAGGCCTTCTACTGCTGAGGGGGAGAAGAAAGCTTTCTGCACCTGGATGCTTGCTTCCCAGATACCAGGCTTGTTTGTGGGTTGTTCTTCAGGTGGCAGTCGATGCAGAGAAGCTGGAGAGAGCTGTGCAGGCAGCTGAGCAGGCCCTCCAGAAGGATGCTCCGTTACCACCTCTGAGCCTGTTCGATGAGCTGAGGGACTCTGTGTTCAGCAGCCTCCTGCCCTACTGGGCTTGTTTCCAGAAGGCCTGGCTGCAGCGGTCTCCTACAAGTGCCCAGAGAGCTCCAGGTAGGGCCCTCATAGAGTTTCTTCCCTGCCACAAGACCTCTTCCCCTCCCCAAGCATCCCCTGAGGAAATCAGGGAAATGGAGACAGTGCAGGTCCATCCCTCCCAAAACCCAGGGCAAGGAAGATCTCTGTTGCAGCAGGAAAGTGGCCTAGCCGTGTTTTAAGGAAGGGAAGATAGGAGAGGTATATGGAAACAGTTTGCTTGCCTGCATAATTCCCATGCTAAATTAAAAACATATGCAGAGCTGGCTAACAGGAGACCTCCCTGCTCCCCTTAGGGAGACTGGGCCAGAGCTCAGGACACAACTCTGGCAGGAAGATTTTCACAGCTGCTGGTGCTGTCTGAAGGGTCCTTGGCTTTACTCCATCCCATGCCTCCTTGCTAGGCAGCCCCTGACACTTGCAATAGATGAATCCTTAGTTAATATTTCACATCATCCCCCTGGTTCCCTTTGCACTTTGCTTGTGGCCCCTTGAAGGGCATTCCCCCATGGGATGCTTCCTGGCTCTGTGTCTGAAAGGCCAGAACAGATGAATGCATGGATCCTTTTGGACAAGGGGCTGCTGGTGAATGCAGGGACCTGGACTTGATGGCTTGGGAGGCCCTTTCCTGCCTTGTGCTCCATTCAGTCTCCACTCAACCAAGCTGTCCACTGCCTTTCCTTTGGCCTCTCCAGCAGCTTCCCCAAGTTCCCTCTTTTTTGTCAGCACCTTGGCATGTCCAAAGCTGACTTCAGAACAGGCTCCCCATCTTGAGTTAGCACTGACCAGGCCCCCTTAGTGGTCTTGGGGATAAGGTCACCTCCTACAACAGTGATGCTCAACCAGGGTGATGGGACCATGAGATCCTTTGAAGAGTGTTAAGAGATTTGAGACGAGCAGATAAGCTAAGGAAATAAGCACAGGCTCAGTCTAGTTCCAGCCTGGATAATCCCCTATCTTTACTTCCTGGCCCTTCTGAAACATATACAATAGTTTTGAAAATGGGTGCCACTCAATTCACAAATGTTATGGAGGGGTGCATTGAATCCAAAAAGGTTGAGAACCACTGTCTCACTGGGTAGCCAGATCTCGCCTGAGACAGTCATCACTCTGGGGCTCGGGGCATGTGCACCAGTGTCTTCTGCCTAGTCTAACTCCTATGTAGGTTGCAGCTCCCACCCCAGGAAAGGGCAGCCAGATTTGCAGCTCCTTAGTGTAGACAACTGGTACCCTAAGGTGACTGCCCACAGTGATTGCAGAAGGGGTGTGTGCCTGATGACACGACCAATGGACTTATGCAGCCACAAAGCTTCCAACCCCCCTTCCCCCATGCTGTCACCACTAGGTCCTGTCTCTTGCAGGCTAAAGTGCCTGCTCTGTCCAAGCCAGCAGACACCTGCAGGGCTGACTGAACACATGAAGAAGGATGTCTCCCCTCCATATCAGCCAGCTGCTCCAGGCACTGAGCTGCCATTCCAAAACCTTGTGCAGAAAAGGCGTACCAGTCAGGGGCTGAGAACCACAGTCCCTCCAAGGCCTCAGCCTTAGGTCCACTGTTTGTGTTAGAGTGCTTTTTCCTCCAAAAAAAAAAGCATGGGGTAGGACGCAACTGTCACTGCACCAGGCACTGCATGGGGTTCAACAGGGCGTGAAGCATCATGCACCCAGTTGAACTGCAGGACTGGAGAGGAGAGGCATCTGTTACCTGAGCAGGGGCTCAGCCACAGCTGTGGGAGAAGTGCCAAGGGTTCTCTTGAGGACAAGAAATCTACACCTTTGCCTCCCATCTGCAACAGATGTGTAGTTCCCCTCAGCACCAAGCTGGGGCTCTGGGATCATGCCAGCCCTCAGGGAAGAGCAGTCCCTGCTGGACTGAGTTTTCCTCATCTAAATACCAACATGAGCTTGTCTTCAGCTTGGGTGTGCATGCGTGTGTGGCAAGGGGTGGGGAGGGATGTTGCCCGGGCCCTGGTGGCATAGGGGGTGTGAATGGCTGTCCTTTGGAGCAGCTATGTGGTGGGTGTGCAGGTGTGAGAGGTTGAGGCCAGCCCTTCATTGCTTCCTCACTGAAACCTTCTTCCTCTGAAGTGCTGAGAGCTCAGCAGCTGCTGAAGCAGAGATGTGCCTGGTTTGAGAAGCCCCAGGGCCTGCAACCAACGCTCCAGCTGCCTCCACTGCAACAGCCTGCTGCTGTCAGAGGAAATGAGCAGCAGGACAACGTTACCTACACCTTCTCGGTCAGCAGGGGCATTGCCCTGAAGGTCAGTGTGCAGATCCACATGCATCCAGCTGAAGGGGAGGAGGTACGGCAGGCCCTCAAAAGGACCCAACAGAATTAGGCAGTGGGGCTGGTGGGAGGGAGGATGGAGGGGGGCTTTAATTTCTTCCTGCTCCAGCTGACGGGCATAAGCCTCCTCATCCTTGCTATGTAAAGCAGGAGCAGCTTTGCCTTAGGCTCCTGCTGGTAGCACCCAACCCGCTTCTCACACCCACACTCCAATATGGAGAGGAGATGTCATCTGCAACATCTACTAATATAGCAACATGCTCCAGAACAAGCCACCGGACAGCTGAAGCCAGCTTCCTCCATTGTAGCACCCTTCACCGTAATCCAGTGCAGCCACTGCTGGGCAGGAACATGGCAACTGTTAACATGCTGCGGTCTAGGGCAGGAGTGATCTGTATAGACCTGTTCCCTCCCACTTCCCGGCCTTCAAGCTTGTTTCTAAGCTTTTCAAGTTCCTATGGCATCCAACTCTTACGTTTTACTACTCCCTCTATTCAGGCCTCCAGCAGAGAAAGTACAGCCAGCATCAGCACAAATACCTCTGGGCTCAGGCGTGGCAAGAGGTCAGCAAGATTTCGGCTTCCTCCCATTCCCAAAATACCCGCGCCTATCTGATCTGGATGGACACTACCATGAAGAGAAGCAGCCAGAGCAGGCCAACTAGGCTAGAAACACCCAGCAGTGCCCCTGCTTTGTTGGGTGCCAAGTAGAGCAAGACTTTTGTCTCCTGCTGGGAGTTACAGTCCCAGGGCAATGGATGCCAGCAGGAAGGGGTGTCGGGACAGCCCTCCCTCTTTTGGTAAGGCTGGTTCATCTACCTCAGCTGCATGAAAACTCTTGCTGAGCTCAGGCAGATGCTGCCTGTACTCCTGATGCAGTGATGGGAGCTGAGTCAGTGCTGTAGGGTGCAGGGAGCATGACAGGGCACTGAAAACAGCCTACTCTCTCCATAGCCCTTTCATCTCCACTCAGATTAGCCATGCCTCACTGGCCAGCAAATGGGGCCCTGCCCCTCCCAAAGACAGTTCTTGTTCAGCAGCTGGAAGATGAGGTCAAGGCAGGTGTCTGAAGTGACATTAAGCCTTAAGGCTCCCAAGGAGTTTTCGTGCCAGCTTGTTACAGCTGATGTGACGTCAGCCTGGCTTTGAAACAGCAACACCCCCTGCCCCCAGCTTAACTGAGCCTTTGCTGCTATCCCACCACTCCTCTAAAATGGGAGAAGCTGAGCAGGACAAGGGGTTTTCCCTCCTTTTCAGAAGGTGCAACCCTCACAGCACACATGGTGTGGCATGTCACTGCCACAGCAGGCTGTTGCTGTGCAGAGGGGAGGGAGGCCACGGCAGTGCCACCAATAACAGGATGGGGGGAGGTATTACTAGCCTGGCCTGTATTCATATTAAGAATGGTTAGAGCTGAGGATGTGGCATGTGAGACCCTGCCATCCCTTGGTAACAGGGAAATAGGAGCCGATACACAAAGTGCAGTGACAGCCAACACAGAAGGAAGGTGTAAGGCTGCTTCTAGCACCAGGCCAGCTGTGCATGGGAGTCTGGTAGGAAAGATGGCTCCCACATGTGCTGTGCTCAACTCTGACCTGGACACCAGGCCCTTGCCCCCTATCACCTCCTGCAACCTCTTCCTGCCTGGTCACAGCTACTCAACTCCTGCCCGTCCCAAATCCATTCGCAATGCTGCTCAGATTATTGTCCTGGCTCCTCACTGACAGCATCACTCTGCATCCACAGCACTAAACACAAGCTACTTCCTTTTGTGACTACTCAGCTTTGCCCGCAGCTGCTCTGCTTGCTCACCGCAATGCTGATTGCTCCCTCTGCTCTGCCAGTGTCCCCTGACTTCATGGCTCAGTCACCTTCCCCCTTATGCATAGGAAAATTTCCCCAGAAGTTCAGACATCTCCAACCTCAGTTTCTTCTGCCATGGTAGCTCCAAAACTAGTGTGGGCCACCCTTATTAGCAGATGTGCCAAAAATAGCCCTGTAGCCTCTGTGAGTGCCAATCCTCTGCCCAATCTATGCTGCTTTCTGCTTCCATCTCTGTGCTCACCGACTGATCAGCTGCTCTGCTTCCCTGCCCAATTTACTGTGGGCTCCATATAGAGACTGTTTGTGCCACTTGTGGCACTTATACTGCAGGTTGGCCACCCCTTTCTTAGGCCCCAGGAGCCAAGAGTAACTGGACAGGGAGTGGACTCCCATTACTGTTTAACAGTGCAAATGTTGCCAGCTTAGATTGTGGCACAAGCCGTGATCTGTCAAGTGCCTTGGAGGGGCTCTATTTCCACTGTAGATCCAACAGCAAATGGCAGAGCCAGGGTCAGTGGCTCTAGATGCTAACGCAACACAGGTCATGGAAAGGTTTCAAGTGCTTGCATGGATGACTTGGGAGTATGAACAAATGCTATTAGTGCTCTCTTAACCTCCAGACTGAAACCGCACTGAAATCAGCACCAGCTTAAATGGTTTCAGCACCCACTGTACCCTGGAAACAACATATTTCCTTCCATCTCTAAGCACAGTGTGGCTGAGACTACTGTTGGCACAGGAATAAGGCCACTGGTGAGCAAGTCTCTCGTACTGGTGGCAGGGTCTTAGGAGCAATAGGCATAATGGCACTCACTCAATGCAGACAGGCTGGTCTGACTGAGGACTTTACTGAGGAGTTGTGGGATGACTGCATCCCTGCCTGGGCTAGATGTGGCACTGGGCACTGTGCAATCTCTATGGTACTGGCTACAGAGGCTGAGCCAGTGCTGGTTTCTAAGCTCTTCTTTCAGTAAAATATGAGGGCTGGGTGGCCCCTGGTGGAGGATGACAGGCCATCCTACCCCTGTGTAACATTCTGAAGAGGAACCAGACTGCTCATAAAAGAGGCAGAGAAGCTGCTGAGGAGGTCTGCAGGGAGAGCTCCCACTCAGCCCTTGCTGTGCTGGGCCTGAAGAGAAACTGCAGCCAGACAGCAATGTTCAGCCCATCTCTGCTCTTTAATAGGCTTGGGTACCATTGTGCTGCTCCCCCAGTAGCAGAATCCCTGTCAGTTGCAGCTGAGGAGCAGAGACACCCCTCAGCACGGCCAGGAAAGGCTGGCTCCTTCTGTGATGCCACCCCTATGACTCCTGGCGAAGAGGGGGAATCAGTCACCACCTCCAGTCACTCAGGTCAGGATGGGCAGCTCTCATCTCTCTCCTGTTCAGGAGGCGAATGCACTGCACTGACCCACAGGGCAGGAAACCAGATAACCTTGGTCCACAGTCCTGGTGGCAGCAGTGTTCAGTGGTGGGACCCGTTAAGCCACCAAAATACACAGAGCTTGCTGGAGCAGTGTGTGCCCTGTTCCAGCATCCCGAAGGCTTGGGGCTGGCAGCTGTGGCTTATCCAGCTGACCCACAAACGAAGCGTCAGAGCTTAGTCCGGAAAAACTCCAGCGCAGCAGTCAAGACTCCCTGCAGGTCCTTGGTATTTCCAGAGCCCTTGGCTACAATGCCAGAGCCCCCTGCTTTGCCTCCCATCCATGTACAGACAGCTATGGCCCAGTCGGCAGCAGAAAGCATGGGTAGGGAACTCTGGGGAAGAGAGGGATGACATGAAGTGAGGTTAGCTTGGGAGACGGAGCACTGTAGCTTGGATAAAGAAAAGAGGCATAGAAGATTCTAGCACAGGGGCAGGCAATTATTTTGGACGGAAGGCCGCTTACTGAGTTTTGCCAAGCCATCGAGGGCCGCGTGACAGGCTGCTGGGGGCAGATAAATATTAATTTTCTAAATTTTTTAGGGGCCCCACAGGCTGGATATAATGGCCTGGCAGGCCGCATCTGGCCTGTGGGCTGCATTTTGCCCATCCCTGTTCTAGCAGCTGGGGTCCCCGCAGGACCATGGAGGCTGAACTTAGCAACCCAGGTGATACGGCTTTGCCTGCCTAATGGCTGATGTGGGCCCCGTGCCTGGATTCTCCCTGTCCAGACTAAAGCAAGCTTAGGAAAGGCCAAAGGCTTGGGCATCTCTTGCCCGTCTCAGCCTCAGCTCCTCCAGATGCCTCAGTAGCAGCACTGACAGGCTACAATGAGGAGTCCATTGAGTTCCCTACCAAAAAGGACCAGTGTGGTGCCTGGCTGTATTCTGGTCTTTCTGCAGCCCTACTCCACAACACAGAGCCTGGCCTGCTTCGTTAACCCTTTGCAGGTGGAGACTGTTTGCTTGGTACATGCAGCAGCCAGCTTACCTTGGACACCTGACAGGCACAGAATACCTGGCCGGAGGCCTGTGGGCTGAGCAGCAGCACTGACACCCCAGATTTGTCACACAGCTGGTTTACAACCTTTACCAGGATCTACGAGAAACAGAGGGAGGAAGAGTCAGAGCCCAGGCAAGGGAGGCTGGAAGGGAGTGGGAAGGATCATGAACAAGGGACAAAGCAGATCCACAGAGCAGCAGGTGATTGCATCAAGCCCAGGACACGGTTGGACCGGCCAATGGGCAGCTCAGGTCACTTCATTCTCTGACCCAGCAAATTTTGGGGTGACTCCAGCTCCCCATCTCCACCCCACCTCCAATCTTTGGTAACTCCCCTGCTGAGGCTTAATGCACCTGTGCTTCTAGCCTGACAGCTCCCTCCGACTCCAGAGCCTGGCCCTACTGATTCCCCCTTGTGCTACCTGCATAGAGGTAGCCTTCCTGGACACTCACCGAGAGGGAGGCCACTGGGACAGTGTCGATTATGACAGGCTGGTTAGGATGTTTCTCCAGCAGGATCTGTGCTATCTCTGAGGCCTAGAGAAGGAGACACAGCACTATGAGGGACTGCTGCTGCCATGGGCAGAGGGTGAGGAAGGCACACACCCACCGTTGCACCCAATGCTATATAAGGCGTCAGACTATATCCTGAGCTCCTTTTCATCAGCCTTGCCAGGGTGGGTGTGGGAAATGGAACCTCTTTTAAAGGGAAAACGGAGTGTAGCATCCATGTTTCATTTGGTCCTCAGTTCCTCTGTCAAGAACATGCTGTCCAATACATTTTTACAGCCAGCATGTGGTTAATTAGCAGGGATTTAGGTTTTCCATTTCTCGTGGAAGAACGGAGTAAAATGTGGATTTCCCCTCTTATCGAAATAAAAATCAGATTTCTCAATTTCAGATTTTGTAGTTTTGCAAAGAGCTCTCTGCAGTCTGGCAGTTCCAGCCTGCAGGGGGCTGGGAGGGAGCAGAGGAGGGTGGTCAGGTAAGGGGTGCCATGCACATGGCTGCCAGGCAGCCTGGAGAGCAACTCCCCCCCAATAAGGAGGGAGGGATGGAGTTGAACAGGGCCCAGGGTAGTGTGCGAGGCTTGAGGCCCAGGGCCACAATACATGGCTGCAGAGCCCCAGTGAGTGGGACGGGGCCACGGGTAGCTTGTCGTGGAGATGGGGACAACTCCCTGCTGCTGCGTGTACGCCCAAGGGGCAGGGGGGATCTGTACCCCTCAGATCTGTGTGCAGGACAGGGGCGGGCTGCCTGCTGTGGGCTAAGGCTTCCACCTTGCTGCCCTCCCCTGGGGCTTCCACAGCCTGGTGGGAACGACCCAGCACTGCAGGGTAGAGCGGGGCCATGCAGGGATCTCCTTGCCGCTATAAGCTCTGTGCTGCCCTGGCGATGTGTCTCCTGCGTGTGCAGAG